TACGTCACCATTCACAAATACTTCTCCCCGCGCACACACGCAAACACACAGACAGACAGACAGACAGACAGACAGACAGACAGACAGACAGACAGACAGACAGACAGACAGACAGACAGAGACACACACACACACACACACACGCGCGCGCTCTCTCTCGCTCACTCGCTCGCTCGTTCGTTCACTCACCCACTCGCCCTCACTCACTCTGTGCATGGCCCAGGTCCTGATCACTTTGGCCCATGCAGGCCATGTGCTCGTACGTGCCTCCTGACACCTCACCAGAACTGCGGATTCCATTGACGCGCATGCAAAACTCAGGAACTGCACGGATGCTACAGCTCCTTAGATGCCACCCGCTGCCGTGTTCGATTCGGACACACAAGCCAAGGGCCTCCAGGACTATAGGCCGGCTCCAAAGTCTCTTGTGCTACCTCTTTCTTGAAGAATCCAAAAGTGCATGCAACTCAGAGAGATGTCGAAATCTGCCACACCTAAAAAAAGGAGCAGGGACGACAAGAACGAGAGGTGACAGCACAAGGAAACCTTGCCGTACCTGCTGTATTACCGAAGCCCAAACGTCGACGAAATCTGTGGCCTCCACCAAATCCACAGATGCCTTCGCCAGTTCGGCGAGAAGCTCAAGTGCCTTCCATGGCTCTGGCTCGAAGGCTTCGGCAAAATGCTGCCGAGCAGGTCAATAGCTCAAGGCGTTGGCAGGTGCATCTTCAGGGGAGATAGCTGCTGAAAACGGAAAAGCACGCAAGAAGGGATGGCAGACTCCAAACTGTGCTTTCATTGCCCTACAACTTCCAATTTTTAAAGCGCCTGGGCATGCATAAAGCAATCATGAATTAGATTGGCTTCTGTTGTTGCGCTTCCAGACGCAAGCAAATCCATCGCAGGAGTCTCACTAAGGCAACCTATGTCTTTTCAGATACACCTAAGCATAGGTTGTACCGACTGTGTGTACATACTGCTGTACGTGCACAAACATGGACATACATTACATGCAAGTGTTTTTCATGTCTGCGTGCAAGTGCACTGTGCACATGCGTATATGTACATATGCAAACATACATGCACACATACGTACGTACATACATACATGCATGCTTGCATGCATGCATACATGTATATAGCTGAAGTCTGCGTGCGTGAGCGGCTGGTGGCCATTGGTGGCCTCGGACTCCTTGAAACCGTCGGCACGGAAGTCCTGGCAGTTCACCTTCACGGAGAGCAGCTTGCCTGCAGGGAACAATACGACACATATGCAGAGGAGTCATAACTAAGGGATAACTCCGGGATCACACCCTAATTTTGTCCGGTGACTAGACCAAACAACAGGTAATCATGGACAAGATCGCTAGAATTAACTGTCAATTAGGCTGCTGTTTCATTCCGGTTGGCGATGCGTTGGGTATCGAAACGTGTTGAGTCTTGTATTGCCAAGACTCCGAGATCTATTCAAGTCCCCATCTCAGTTACAACACAATCCAGGAACCTGGTCCAAGACAACGTCTCAAAGGCTCCCTGCCCTCTTTGTGGCACTTTTAATGGCCTTGGCGTGTGGACTTGGGCATCCTCAGAGCCTTTGAGGGGGGGGACCCCAGACTCTGGACCCCTAAATCTTAAAGCCAAGACTTCGAAAAGCCAGAGAATCGCCGATCCTGGCCCCATGGCCATCCGGACAGCGGCGACAATGTCCAAGAGAATCCTCCTGAGGTCGTGATGTCTGGCCCAAAGTTCTGCTGTGCGTTCTCTTAGCGGGCCTCTGCAAGCATTCCCACGTAGCCGATGACCGTGCTCATAGGGAACAGCACAACGTGTCACGTGTGGCAACTCGGAAAGACTACCCCGACTGCAGGACCCCGAAGCAGGTCATGCGATTGCGCAGGGGGCCGCCGAAATCGTCTGACCGCCGGTTGGTGTGGGGCGACAGAAACCTCAGGCTTGGGAACAGAAGCTGTGAACCAATGAAGTCTTGGACCACCCGACACTGCGGAACCTCGATCTTGTCTGGGCTATTGTCCTGCAAAGCACCCAGAGTGCAGAGCATTGAATTCAAGCGGGTAGCTGCCAGGTAGCTGCGATAGCAGGTAGCCATGCGCCGCATGTACCTAACGACAACACACTCTGTGAAGTCTGCAAAAACACGTACTGCCGCCTTTATCTTTTCTCAAGCTAGTCGAGGCTGGCTTGCATCTTGAGGCAAGTCATGGCTTGCATGTTAGTTGGTAATCTATCTGGTTTCGAGGCGCCACGGCTAGTGGGGGTCTGGTTTGTGGGCAACGCTTCGCTTAGTCAAGCTGAATGAAGGCATCTCGGCAGATGTTCCGCACCTGCGCACCTGCACACCGTGGAAGCCGGCAGCCACGCAAAGCTTCGATGCGGCGGCAAACTTGGACGGCAGGGATCGGACCTCCTCCTTCAGGCAACTGCGATGTGCTCCGTACTGACATGGAACACGAGTCCCGGCTATTTCAAAGCAACAATCTCCAAGCCCGAACCCTAAACCTCTAACCTTCCGCCCCTAAACCCCGTGGTCGTTTCATGACCCTGGCCTCAGTCAAAGCCCGCGGGCGCCGGAAGAGCTGGAGGCCAACGCCCGGCAGCTTGAATGAGACCTCTCCAGCAGCACTTCATCAAGCCTTTGGCTTCCGGGGTGATGGCCATGGTGATTGAGCCGATAAGTCTGACTTTGAGCCATGCAAGTACAAGCTGGTATCATTGCTATTGCAATGTCAGGCGGCATGATTTTTGACGATTATTCCCCGATTATCGCCTGACTGAAAGTGAAGGCATATGCCCAGGCCTCGGATGGGGCGGCGGGCCTTTGCCAGCTCACGGACAGCGGACACTGCCGCCCAGGGTGTGAGAGCTGCCTTGGTCTGAGGGAGTCTAAGCATGTTTAGACATGCGTCTACCGAATTATCATCATACCGTGTTGAGTGTGTGGAGGCTGACTCCCATGTAGCAACGCTTGAATACCCGGGGGGCTCTGAGAATGGAAAAAGCTGTCCATGAAAGAAGACCCTTCCATTCTCCTTGCAGTAACATAGAAGTCGAACATATCTCGAACAATCCTCTCGCAAACACGTATCCTTACCGTGGTGCACAATGGCCACTGGTGCAGAGCTACCTGCAGCCGGGGTTGTGCTTGCGCTGCCCCATTCCTGTCAGCAGTGCTGCATGCACATGAACATGTCTTTTGCGTATTAATATGGTTGCAAGATCTGCATCCTTGTTGGACGATTTGTACGTTGAGATACCGCTGCACAATACACCCCACAAATTAATATATGCTTGGATGCATTTTCGCTATGAATGCAATTTTCGATTGTACAATCAGGTGCCTGAGACTCCGTCCGCGCCCGAAGCTCATCGCGCCAAGGCAAAGCCTAGACCCGAAACCGGCCTTCCAAAGCAGGGTCGGATGCTCCTCACTCGCGATGACGTTGCAGGGGCCCTCCAAATAGGAGCTGTCCACCATGACATTCCTCTGCACTGGGTTTTGGGACTTTGGTGTCTTGCAGTGAGCTTGGGGCTTTGAGATTGGTACATCGAGAGATTGTCAGGCCTTCACATGCCTAGAATTTTTGAGCCTGTGCTGCATGGTCCTAGCTGTTGCCCTGGTTGGCATGGCTTCAACGGCACTTAGAGTGTAATTCTGATGGTACAAGGTTTTCAGCACTGGTACCTGCAGCAGTACAAAGCGCTGACCGCCATAGTGCACAGTACGAAAGAACGAAACTTGGCATACGGCCGCCTTGGTAGTTAGAGGACTGCCCGACCACCCGTGCTTGAATGCTGGTAAAACCTGTAAGCCCGAAACTGCAGGGCAGCAAATCACCGTGCTTTTGCTTGTTTGTAGCTGAGCAGTTGAAACACGGGTAAACACATCTCAATGCCTCCAAGGCACCCCGTTATGATGAGCCCAGCCCCGCCAGTGGCCCACTTGCGGTACAACTCGACCAGCTCGTTCGTCGGTTCGCCGGTCCTGCCGAACGGGAACTCATGTTGCTTGTGCCATTTGGTGATCATGCACGTAGAGCTTTGTTACAGTTTGACCTGGTAGCTGCAAGCAGGACTGAACGTTGACAACAAAGTGAGGGCTATTTGCTGCGAACCTTGGGTTTCCCAAATGCTCGGACGTCGCTGCTTTCGCCAGGCGATTTGGCAGGCACACACCACATGGCAGTGTGAGCGCGGAATCCACCATGGCAGAAGCACTCTCTGCAGCTAGTATCACATTCTATCAGCACTTCTGTGACAACTCTGCTCACTGCGAACAACTGTGACAACTCTGCTGACTGTGGACAATTGTGAGTGCAACAGCGGCCAGCGTGAGAACATGTCCTGTCCTGTTCTAGTGCAGGTGGACTGAACAGAACTGCTAATCAAGGCTCAAGCAAGACCAAACATCGCTGCGACAACACGGAAAGTCGACTTTCTGAAGGTATGGGCTTCAGGCTACAACCGGCAGCTCCAAGCAGGTTCTCATGCATGGCTCCGTGGAATGCAATCACTGAATCACGCAGCTCCTTCAACTTGGTGAGCCAATCCTGCGCTCGGCCCAAATACCTGCCACATTCATGCTCTGTTGCATGAATGTCTGTAAGTATGTCTACAACACCAGCATGGCCGATCATATGCAATTACTCCTACACATAGGAGTAAATATACAATATGCATATGTATATTCATACATCTGTATACATATATGCATGTATGCATATATGTATGTAGGTATGTATGTATGCATGTATGTACGTAGGTATGCATGTAAAGCAGCATGATTAGATGCACAAGTCGAACAAACGCATGCATGCATACATTCATTCATGCAGGCAGGCAGGCATGTATGTGTATGTCTGCGTGCTTATATGCAGGTATGAATGGATGAATGGATGCATGTATGTCTGATTCTGTACATGTATATATATATATATATACATATATATATATTTAAGTACCAATTTATGTATTCATTTATGTTTCTCATCTAATGATGATAGAGGCAGGACTAAGGGCGCCTGTGTGATCCCGTGTGCGGGTCTTCGGTGTGTGTGTGTGTGTGTGTTAGAGTATGATTGATTCGGGGGTATGCTTTGCAACGAACACTTCCCAGAGTATGTATCAGGCACTCTTCGCAGCCATGATTTGCTACATACATCAAAAGCCGGCAAGGATTGACGCGTAAGTTCAACATGGTGCCATTGCGTCAACATGCTCAAACCCGAGACCCTCCACTGTCCACTGTCAAGTCCACTCCATCAGAATATCATCCAAACCTAGGACCTCTACGAGAAAAGAATATCGAACCCACTTTGCCTCACAAGTTGCTCCTCTGCCAACCTTGGTTGAAGTGTCGGTAGCGGGCTGCCGAGGTTCCAAGCCCACCGAGCGACTTCCAAGATCCGTCTAAGATGCAAGCTTCCCCGTAACGCGGGAATGGCATCGCATGGGCACCTGCGAGAGATATTCTTCAAAACTTCTGTCAACAAGCACCAGTGAGGGCAGAATCACATCACAAATGCAAGGCTGACAACCTGCTACCAGCTATTACTGTCGGCAGTATGTTGTGCCTCTGCCAGCAATTCTCGCCGCATGACATTGGATGATTCCTCGGTCTTGGTGGGCATCAGTCGCACCTTTTGCGAGACACCTTGTCCAAACTTGTTTGCCGAGGTACAGCCAACCGCGGATGTGGCAACAAGGGGTCACCTGAACCTGACCAAACGTGTGAGTCGGTCGCATGGCTGCTTCGGCTTTGCAACGGGTTCGCACATTGACGCAGTTTGAAATATCCTATTTTTGGCAAACGGAAACATCCAGTTGCTACGACCAAGCCTATGGGGCTTAGGCGAAGGAGACTGGCATGGATAAGTTGGTGGTGCATGCACCCAGCACGCCCAAGGCTCAACCGTCGTGCGTGTGCTTGTGGGTGAGTGTGGGTCTTTTTGATTGTGCACGTGCAGATGCATGTAGGACCTACGTGGTATATCATGTCCTATCGACATAAACGGATATGCTGAGCTACACCAGGTTAGCGCATGATCTCCACGCATGGGTGCAAACAAATGCATTCCACCGATGGGTGCAAATGCATTCCGTCCAAAATCCTCGCCAATGACAGTGACTCAGCAGCGCCCTGCAGTAGAACTCTAGCGAGAACCTCGTGGTTGCGCCAGCTGTTCCAGTAGCCATCGATCCATGGAGTCCGGCGGTGGAGTCTGCAATCCCAGCACCTGCAGAAGGTCAGAGCCTCTGTTCGTCTTCCATCTTCTGCGGCCTAGGGTTTAGCTTTTCATGTGCAGCCCCTCCCTGCCGCTTCCCGGGCCTCGGCACAGGTCTGCGCGTAGACATTTCGAAGCCTTGGGGGCCCAACAAAACAAATGTCGCCTCAAAACGCCTAAGCCACTCTTGCTGAGCAAAGATCATGCGATGCCCGATCTGCAGCTACGGCTGGGAGCCACTGCTCTTCGAAGTACTCAGCGCGCTGAAGCCTCGGGATGCTCGCAATAATGTGATTTGCGGAACACTATGACCGTTATACTGTAATAGGAAATATCTTGTTCAATAGTAGTATGTGTTCATACGTGTAAGCAACAAGCAACACTTGCTATTCGCTGTACAACTGCTGTGCGCCATCTGCCACACTTAGCTCACAGCTCCTTGCTCGGAGACGCCGGCGTTCTGCAAGCCTGCCACTTGGCCATCAAGTTCTGCAGAGAAACCTCTACTGACTCTACTTTAATCCAAAGTTCCATCCATGGCCTCGTTGCGATCCGGCTCGGAGAAGTCCCACAAGGCCTCCAAAAGCTACGGCGACGGCTCTTCTGACTCCCCCCAATTTTCAGCGAGCCGAGGCAGACGCCACTCCCTTCCTGTGTGGGACGACCTGGCACGTGGACTCAAGGCCTAGGCCTAGTCCTAGCCACACAGGAGAAGAGAAAAGAGACCCTAAACCCTTTGAAGATGGCCCCAAAAATGGAGTTTGAGAAATGCGGCATGGAAAGGATATGGCTCCTGCGACGACAAGAACCGGGATACTTAAGGGCCGTTAGCTCATCAGGATGCGGCGGCCACGATGGATGATGGATATGCTATCTGTGACAGTCAGTGATGGTGAAAAGGAAGATTAGCCAAAATGACCCATGCATGGACACAACACGGGACAATTAAGCTTAGTCCAGCTGACTTATAGCAGACGGACAAGCATGAACGTGAGTTGTTGTTTAGCTTTCTGTGTTTGTTTGCACTTGTTTCGGACATGTCTCTGTTGATTGGTATGCTCGCTCTCGTCGCACGACTATGTAGGAATCGTAGCGGGATAAGGAGGTTTTGGCAGGAGGTTTCTTGGGTGTGCCAATCCCATAGGTATCGTCTTTGAGGCGGCGCTTGGGCCTTTCAGTCAAAGCCTTTGCGTAGGGCTTCTGCATTTGTGGCTTCCACGGGTCCATGGATGCTCAACAGCAGGCATCACAAGAGCAACAGCAGTGCAACAAGTATCTGCAGCAGCAAGGAGGAGCAGAAAGCAGTGGCAACTGTGGTAGCCACAACGGGAACAAAAGTGAAACAACATGACATGAGCCAGCGAGCGAGTGCCTGCATGCCCACGCACGCACGAACACAGCTACACAAGGACGTTGCAGCCACAAGTCAGGCCGTCAACACATCGCTGTCCGTCCAGATGATGTTCTCCCGCTTCCGCTTGCCCTTTCCTGCCACGGTAAATCACTAGCAACCTCGGCATCATTTTCATTGCTCCGCAGAACGTCCTGCCTGACATTGCCGATGCAAAGCTTACATGGCTCTTGTGCCGTAGTCTTGGTGTAGAGCTGCAGCTTTTGGCATGTGCCAATGAGACGTCGGATTACGCCTGTGGAAAGCACAATGGTCGTACACTGACACGTGGAGGGCTTCTACAGTGGCTCGTATGCTTGCGCTTCTCGTCACTAGCCGCGTGCGTTCAGCTGGCTCATGGAGTGGGGTGCGGAAAAGCGATGAAACAAATTCGGTTGAAGATGAGCTGATGAGCGCTGCTTGCGCGTCAACAGCATGGGCTCCGTTGTAAAATGGTGCTCCGTGCCACAGATGCTGTGCGCCCAAGCGTGTCCAAGCGTGAGCCATTTCTCCCCACTCGCCAGAAGCAGTCAAGGAGTCTGACCAAGGGTGCCTAAAGCCCTGCACCTGTCACCCAAGTACAGCGAGGCTCATGTATTATGAGCCACCTGACTTTCCTGTTCGACGATCTGTTTGCACACTCCTCAATGCTCAGGTGAGTTGGATGTAACTTCTAGGTTCTATCATTCCATACCCTACACCCCAAATCCTACTAAACTTAAACCCCTAGTGTTCGCAATACTATGCACTGAGCTTCTCGTGACAAGCCAGCTGTCTCCAACTGCGGCTGCGTCGCAATTGCACGATGTGTTCGTACAAGTAAGTAGCTATGCTGTCCTGTACCAGTATAATTACATGGGTATAAACCGTAACCTATCCAGCACGGTCAAATGCTGTGAGGAGATCGGCTGCATGCGTCTACTGCTGTCTCCTGCTACACACCGTGTACCATCCTATTTGCTTGCCTCTTTGCCTGTATGCATCTATATTATATATTCATGTATACATGCAACTGATGCATGTGGGGTGCGGCAATGACAAGCAGTTTTCTTGCAAACCCTTGTTCACGACCATGTGCTGTCGTAGTATGTTGCCCCACTTTGTTAAACACTTCGAATGCTCGAGTGCATGGCACATCTACAAGGCTTCGCCAAGCCGTAGGCTGACCCAGACCTTGGACTCTCGGAAGCGTTCGCTCGAGAACCCCACTTAGCAGAGCCCCTTCAACCTAGAAGATTAAGCCCCTTGGCATGCTGCCCTTCCCGAAGAGCTGTGCCAACAGCTCGACACGGGATCGGAGCACTCAGAAGCGCAGCCTGGCACACTCCTGCCATCATGCGGGAGCTTCCGGGAACGCCAACTTCTTCACTGGCCTGAAGTGCGACTTCAAGCAATGGTTGAGGAACGTGTCATGAACTTGGAAGAGCGAGCGCAGGAGATTCATGCCGCAGAGATCAGCAGGTTTAGAGAGTTGACGGAAGTTCTACTTTTGAAGATATCATGTGATGGAGCAGGAGGACGAGGATGCATCAATCATAGCACTACACTGACAGCACGCAACAAAGGTAAGTAAGACAGAAGGAGGCATAACAG